CGTGTTTTTCAAAATGGAAAGAACTAGTGATGGGGCGAAATACCATGAAAGGAAAGAAACGAACGAATTTTATTAATTTTTTTTCTTATTATTAATTTTCTCTTCTTTTCGGTACGGCTATACGAATTATATCTTTTCTTCCATTCGTGACTGAGGTGAAGTATACGTTATTTCGTAATTTGGTACAGCAAACAAAGGAAAATTACGCATTTCTTTTGTTATAGCCGTTAAAGAATTTCCCTTTCCTGCTTTCGTTTCTGACGTACTTGTTTCGGCGCATCACTAGAATGAACGAGAAAGATTGTCATTCTTCAGGCGTGTTTTTATTCTGTGTGAGTTATGTAACATATATTAGACCTAACAATATTACGCTTTTCTCACTTTGTGTCTGTATAAAAAATGCCGCGAGTAAAAACAGCCAAAATATACCGACGACAGTTTAAATAAATTAATTGATTTCATTAAAGACAAAAAAATTAGTGTTAAGATCGGATCAACGCAATTTAATATTCCGCTTTCCACTATTTATGATCGTTTGGCGCACAATCGGGGGCCAAGAGAAAGTCAAACAATTCTTTCTATTGCTGAAGAAGAGTTTCTTGTGAAGTTAATCATGCTGTATCAAGAATGGCAGCAACCAGTCTCAAAGCCAGATATTCTTGAATTAACGAAGACATACATGAAACAATTGGGAAAGAAAACGAATGATTGAGCGTCCATATGGCGAAAGTTTGACTGGTGCTGAAGCGCTTATTAAAGTACAAGAGAAAGAGAACAGGAAAATTAGAAAAAGTATGCTGTTGACCTTAACTTTTCTTGCAATTTCGTTTAATCTATTACTAATGCTCTTCGCTTTTTTTTGCTGATTGTTTAGGTTCAGCAGCAGCACCACCTTCAAACAAACGAAAAACGAAATCGATATCACCTGGAGAATTAATTGCCTGCAATAATGAATTATTAGCAAGTTCTGAAAAGACGAATGCACCTTCAATATCCACAAATCAATCATCAATCACTTCTGCAGCTGATACTCAACCGCCACATTTCGATTTACACCCTCTTTGTGATGATTCAGCACCGTTCATCTCCTCATCAATTCAATTACATTCTCAACAGCAGCAGCAAGACCAATTTTATCCGTGTTATTCACAAGAAGCAGTCTATGTGAACCTTTCAACCGCTAACTCGCACGTCACGACATCTGATTTTAATCCTTACGATTCTTTAATGTATCCTTATGCCGATCAGCAAATAAATTATTATTCACCTCCTGAATTACCAATGGACTGTCACCGTTGTTTTACTGCCGTTTATGAAAGTTATGATTCATTTACTCCATGTCAAAGCTGCGATCGACTTTTATGTTCAGTATGTACACAAGCTTATGTTCTAGGACCACAACCACTTACATATCCTGATTGTTTAATAAAAACACC